AAGGATGCCTTTATGAACGGTGACCTGATGTTGAAGACTTGATAGAGATTCAGTAAATTGCTCGGTTAGTAAAATAAAGTGCTATTTTTGTGGGCTACCTCTGTCGTATCTTCTTTCACATCTGAAGGCTTCTTTACTCCATGTTCCCGTATGAACTTTGCCATATGCTATATGAACTCTAGCTTTGTGTGTATGTTTGTTTGACTGCCAACTTTTTGAAAAGAAAAAACTTCTACTTTTTTCTCTTCTTGCATGTAACAAGCAGGGTAGTGACTTATACAATGCGAAGTTCTCTGTATTCCTCGAGATTAGGAACAATTTTGTCCTTGTAAAAGACCGAGGTGTTGCCAGAAACAGAATACTGCCATCTCAGCTTATGAATCCCAGTTTCAAATCCACGATCCGTTACATAATAAAGCCTAACTGGGCTCATTACCAAAAGAACTCAGTCATTCAGAAAAATAAAAGGGGAGAAAAACCCTTTTGCTTCATGGAGGAAGAACCAGCGCCAAAAGGAGGTTGAAATGTTAAAAATGCATTTTCCATCTGAATCTCTATCTGAATCTCATATCAAGTGTCCTGTCTCTTCTTTTTTGATCTCCTTAAAGCTAGGAATCAATATCGCTGTTATACAGTTGCTTTTATGTAGGTGGATATTCTTTGTAGAACCTGTGAGCATCTGTGTTGCAAAACCCATGTTCAGAGGGTCTCTTCCTGCTTTACCATAGGTCATTTTAGGTAAGTCTTTTTGGCTACATCTGCACTGTTTAGGACTAAGTGCCTCCTGTCTATAGTGTTGCTGCTTACACTCTCCATACTGTCTTTCCACACATAATGTTGGACCCATCTAGAAAGACATGTGGCCAACTTGCCTGCCTGATGTTGGCTGCATGGTATTGCTAGACAGCAGTGTGGGACGGATGGGAAGGGATTCAGCAGGACTGTCCTTGGGCCCTGCCTATTCTCTGTGCAGCAAATGGGCTGGCAGGGCACGAGTGAGGCAGGAAGGAGATCTGGATGCGGTTTCACTATGCCAGAGGGTGCCAGAGGGTGCCAGAGCCCTGGCACAGGCTGCCCAGGGAGGCTGTGGAGTCTCCTTCTCTGGAGATCTTCTAAACCTGTCTGGATGCCGCCCTGTGCCCCGTGCTCTGGGTGTCCCTGCTGGAGCAGGGGGTTGGACTGGATGATCTCTAGAGGTTCCATCCAGCCTCAGCCATTCTGGGATTCTGTGATTCTATGATTTCTTGGAACCTTCTTTTCCATTCTATAAACATTATTTCTTTCAGTGCAGCTGCTCTGTGTTAACTGGAACCTTTCTTGGGGATTAATAATTGATTAAAAGCAGGAAGCAAAGAGTTACATTAGTTGGCCAATTTTCCCTGAATGGAAGTGCCTTACTGGTGGAATAAAATAGGAATTTCTGCAGGAACTAGAACTGTTCAACATATTCATAAATGACCTGGCAATGGAAGCAAAGCATGGAGAGATCAATTTGCAGATGTCAGAAATTATTCAGAGTAGTCAAATTTGCTGACTGCAAACATTTGGAGAATGAATTTGTGGTACTAAGCGACTGAGCAGTACAGCAGATTAAATTAGTCACTTGTACAAAGTAATACACATGAGAGAAATCATCAATATTCCTCAATATTCCCTAGTTTGGCTGTTCCTCCCCTGGAAAAGATCTTGCCTCATTGCGGGCGGCTCCATGAAAGCAGCAGCAGCACAAGCTGCCCTCGGTGTTGGTCCAAGAGCTAAACAGAACAGTAGGAATTGCTGGTAGGGAAAGAGGGAACAGCAACCAATTTTTGTGTCGCTGTGTAATCTGCTAYGGCCACTTCTTGAGTGCTGTGTGCCCTTTTGTGCACTTCGTTGCCGCAGCATTAGGGTGAATGGAAGGCAAAGGTGATGAGGGAGGGATATGGAATTGTTTTTGTACAAATAGGAACTGATTAGCGAAGGAAATTTTCCGTCTGGGGAAAAGGCAGCTGAAGGGCTTATAATATCACCTACAGTGGAGATCTGTACAGACATGAATGGCCCAGGAAACTGAATAGAGAGTGTTTATTTCCTGTTTGCTTTTTCTTCTCCACTGTTTTACAAAAGCAAAACTAGGGCACCCAGAAAAATTTCAGGAAGCTGGTTCAAACAAAACAGTTTTTCACAGAGCACATAATTAAAATTTGGAACTCATTGACAAGTGGTGCTATGGAGATCAAAGTGAAGTTGAATGAAATATCTTAAGGTATATTGTTGAGCTACTTCTTGCTCAGGAAAAGCTCGTTACATGTTAATGTCTTAGTGCAAGGTTACTGCTCCTGGTTCCTCATTATGAGAAGATACTTGCATATTACTTTTGGAACATTTTCAAAATGCTTTCATTTTTCTGAAGAGCATGATAACATTCTTTTGGTTGTAACTATTTAAAAATAAAACAGATGTAACCAACTTGCGTTTGAACGAACTCTGTCAGAGACAAAGCCAAACAGGACAGAGTGAAACAGTACTGAAGGAAAAAAAATGCTTCCTATATCAAACCAGCAGTGATCCTGATCCCATATTCATTGGTAATGTACATTGGCAATACTACCTTTGCTTCCTTTCTGCAGTATCGGCAGGACACCCAAGCTCGTGACCACATTCCTCCGGAGCAGTGTGCCTCATCTCCATGGCTGAACATCAGCGGAAGTATATGATTAAAAAAAGGAAAAAACAGTTTTGGATAAGCAGACCATCCCACTGAAAAGTTGGATTGATGCTCTGCTCCTGCTTTGTGTGTTGCAAACTTATTTGGAGGAGCAGAAAGTGTTTATGAAGCGGTTGTGTGTGCAACTGAGCTCTGAACTAGCAGACGAATGTTCTCCACTTCATTTGGTGCAAATAGAAATATATATTGCCTATAAATGATCCTAAAAGTAAACTCCCTAATCTGATAAAATTCATCAGGATATTYCTATCTTCTATCTATGAGGATATTTATTTCTATCTTACTAATTTTGTTGTTTCACTGAGAAAACATCATGTGGAAAGATGTAAAGATACGGAAAGACCTTATGGTGGTATAGGAGATGTGAAAAAAATACAAAATTGTTAAGAAACTGAGGCAGGAGGCTCAAAGAAAGCGGGGCTGAACTAGCAYGTTCCATTTTGTTAGACATTTTTGAGTGCACACCTGGCTCTTACACTTCCTGCTGCATGGGGAAATAGTGTAATCATGTAAGTGATCTTTGCTGTTCTGTGTAGACTACCATATCTTTGTCCTTTTATTTAACTGGCTTCAGGCAGCAAGTCTGAAACCTGGAGTTCTCCCTGGGCTTCCTTTGGACACGGTGTCCCATCCCACATCCTTTCTTTCAAAACAATCTTCAGATATCCATGCACACCCATGTATTTCCACACTTTGTCTAATTCCTTTGCTCTTAGTTCACTACCTCAGTGGCCAGGGTCACTGGCCACTGTCAGAGACATTGTCACTGTCACTGGCTGCTGCTTTTAAGAATGCAAAGGTGCATTCTTAAACGATGATCAGATAAACCCAATATTTTTTGTATCTCAAATCAGGTAGATGCAGTACTTAATAACATTTCATTATGTGAAATCTTGATTGATTTTTTTTTTTTAATTTCTATTAATATACTCTGATTAGATATAGTACATCGAGCTGCTGTAGACTTGTCAGCCTTGGAGGGGGTATGATGTGAAACTTTTCCTAAATTAATATCTAAATAAGAGATCGATGGATGTTACTGACAAAGGAAGATACATTGATAGATCCTCTTCCAAAGTAAYGTTTTAGATCATTAATTTTATTGTTGAGAGTTACAGACAGGACATCATAGCTAATCACATTGATTTCCTAGAAAAGAGTACTTCTTTTACATGCTCTAGGTGTGCCTGCTTGAGCAGAAAGGTTGGACTAGATGATCTCTAGAGGTCCCTTCCAWCCTTGAATATTCTGTGATTCTGTGATTTTGGTTAGCTTTATGTAATGTGCAGGAAAGAATCTTTATCTTCAACAACACAGTGCAGTCCTTTTATGTAGACAGGAAAGCATCTCTTTTTCTTTCAGACATAATATTTTGATTTATTCTTCTAATTGAAATACAAGAGGACATAACTGAAACCAAAGGGATGATTGGAAGACAAGAAGACTTCACCTGAACGCCACCACCATGTCAGTGGGGGCATTTAAGAGGCCCTGAGGTGATAAGGTAAAAACCTCAGTGCTGGCAACCCCTAATACAGCCTGTGTGAAAACACTGGGAAGCAGTAACGAGGAGCAGTATACAGAGATGTTGCATAGGTTGATTTCAATCTTTTTGGAGTTTCTGCGTCCCTGAAAGTTTTCGGGTGGTCACACGGACCCTTCAGTAGCATCCGAGCGTACAGGCTTGCTGGAATTGCCAGGGTCGGGTTCGCAGATCCAGAATCTGAAGGCCCCTGTTCTAAGGTGATAGCAGAGGTGATAGATCGGTAATTCAGGGAGAAACTGAAAAACTCGTTTCTTTGAGATATAACTAAAGAGGCTGCTGGGGCACAGCATTTTATCARCAAAGCTCCTCCAAAGAGTCAGGAAGGTGGTTTTAATTAATTCYATAATTTGGAGCCTCCGCCTTCCCATGCAGGCGTTTCATGGTGAAGGTAACGGTGCTGTCCAGGCCAGTGAWGCAGAGGAGCCTTGATGCTGTCGGGCCAGTAAAGCGCACGAGCCCTGACGCTGTCAGAGAGCAGGAATTTCCCTCCGCAGCTCCGCAGCAAACTGACGGGAAGGTGAAAAGGAGCCGAGCGCTCACGGAAGAGAAGAGGCGGCTGCTGCTGCGCGCCCGGCACCGCGCAGCCCCGCGCCGCGCTCACCAGCGCGCCCCATTCCTCCCAGCGCGCCCCATTCCTCCCGCCGTCAGAGGAGGCCGCGGCGGGCAAGCCCCTGCACAGGGGAGGGGAGAGAAGTTTGCAGCGCTGCCGCTGTGATTAACATTCATGACTCTGGCTCCGAGCAGCGGCCGCCTCAGCCCGGGCACTGCCAGGAGCGAGCGGGCACTTCTCCCTCCTTTTGTGCTCCCAGGGAATCCGTGCGGAGTAATTGAAATGCAGGGCTGCAAAGCACTGCTGTAGAATTCCTTCTTTTTTTCTTCCCTTCGTTCTTGGACCAGGGGGAACATGTTTGCTGTGGATTCTTTTTGTTTTATCAGAGAATGAGAGGCTGGCTGAATGCTGAAGAAATGGCCCTGGAAGAACTGATGCAAAGATTAAATGCGGTTTCCCAGTGCACGGGTAGGAGGAGCTGCTGGTCTTAAATAATGTGTTGTGTTGATGGTGTTAGTGATTTTATAGAATTTAAGAAAATCCCGCTAATCTGACTAGCATTCTTTATGCATATTTGCATTAGTAGGAAAGAAAATGCTAAGAGCTTTTGTCACAGGGTTAGACTTTTGTTTATATTGACACTAATTGGCATTTTTAATGCTTAGATATTCATGAGGCCACCTTTAGAGCTTCTCTTGAATAGGTTTCTAGTTTTGAGTAGCTGTTAGCCCAGTCAAATACTATAAGTAGGTCTTGTTTCATTTTTTTCTGTCTCTGACTCAGCTAAGAAGTGGGGGAACTACAAATTTGCCATGTAAAGCTGATCTAATACGAAGCAATGAAGAGCCCGGATAACTGTRAGGCACTGCAACCAGTATTTTAGGTGGATCTAAATTGCACTTTAATGAGAATGAGGATTGAATGCATTAATCATGGTAAATTTAGTTTTACATCCGGATGGATTTTAAAACTGCAGTAGATCTACTAAATAATTTKAATACTGTAAAAAGATTATTATGATTTCTGACAGAATTTCTTTTTTTCTTCAAAATGTAAATGCTTGTATGTTCAGAACTATAGCTAAGCAGCAGCGTAGAAAAAGGTAATTTGTGATTAGATTTCAGATTGTGTCTTTTCTGTTGTGCATGCAGAAATGTGAGCCCAATCCAKAATTAAACTTACCTGGAAAGAGAAGTGAGGTGTTTTTTGCATCCTTGAAACTGCTTCTTTTGCCATTTATTCCTAGCATGTGTCAGAAGTCTTGCATCTTCTCATATAAGGCAAACTGATGCGTTGCTGATGCAGACTTTTCAAGGTATTATTTATTGCAGTATCAAAACTTGGATTTTTCCTTCTTGCCATTCCCTGGGGCCAGTGCTTCCTGAGAACGACTGACTTCTTTGGCTTTTTCTATTTGTGGTACAAGGGGATAATTAGCAAGATGGCTGATGCTGTAGTCTAATGAACAGATAGATTAAATGACAAATGTGAAAGGGACGGATTAGCAGCATCAGTTTTCCTGGATAGAGGAGATCTTTGTTTTACCGTAATAACATTTTTTGAGAGGCAAAAAGCAAGACTTAACTTGAAGAGGAAAAATATTACATTTCAAGTAAAGGCCACTTTACACATTATTTTCTGCTTTATTGCTTTTCATATACACATTTCCCCTATCATATCATCCCCCTTGCAGAAATATTTCTGTGTTAGATGCTTGGGGATTGTTTTATCCTGTGTTTTCATTTGCTGAACTTTCAGCTAAGAAGAAAGCCTGTCTRATATTTGCTAGTGCCTACTGCCTTGTGCAGTTTGTTGTAATAATTTACACTCCGTTTCTTCCCTTCCTTAAAACTGTAGCTGTCGTTTTTGTGAATTGAAATAAATTTTAATCACATGTAGTGGAATTGTTGGCTAATGTGGGAGGCTTTTCCTAGTGAATTAATGTATACTGAGCCTCTAGCCTGGCCGTGGGCTTTTTAATGCACCTGTGATGCTGCCCAGGTCTCGGCTGTGCAAGTGGGCACGCTGGGACCACCACACCTGCCAGTTGCAAGTGCCGTTTTCACATTTGCCAGCAGGCTCTATGGCTTGCCTTTTAGCTTGTTAAACTTGCACGTTTTTGRAAAAAAAAAGAAAAAGCAGCTGGCATTTTAATGCCACTTTTGACACATAGATGGTCTAACTGAGTCTTCTCTTTCCTTCTCCTTTCCATCTCCTTCTCTCTCCATGCCTCTGTGTAGCCCGTGTGTAGGCTCTCCCTAATTGCACTTGTTATCTTTTTTTCTGCAGCCAATGGTTATATTTATAGGTAACCCTATTTGAAGTTAAAAGGTATTTCCTTTTTGCCTTTTTTTTCCCCCTCTTTGTTCCTTCCAGGTTCCTTAGACTGTTTCTCTGTTGGTGTTTTCTGTTCTTTCACTGCGCTCTACCCTTGAGTCAAATTATCAGCTCATACGGCTTCACAGCCATCTCTCTTGGCAGATCCCTTTGCAAGCAARTATGATCCCTTAGCAGCCCAAGATTATGTGCAGCTTTTTAAAAGCTCATTTTTAATAGCTCTGTGCTCATAAGTAATTGAAAAGCACAGATTTCCCTAGTGCCCCATAACACAGCTGTTCACCTTCAGAGGTCAATAGATTTTCTCTTTTCAGAGTCCCCAGGTAAAGAATATTCCCATTCCTTTGCTGTCTCTCTGAATGATGCACCTGGCAGGCAGGCTGAGATTCATCCCACCTGACTTTAGATGTCCGAAATAGTGACTCAGAAGAGATCCAGCACGGTCCATGTATGGTGAAGTGAGGGAAAGGGGCACCTTCAGAAGGCCATCCAGTCATGCACCCTTCACAGTGCAWATGTCTTGTCCTATGCCTGGAGTAGCTGAACTTCTGTCCTCACATCTTCTGCATGTGGGAGGTTAAGTGAGGTAAATCTGTATTGCAGCCCATAATCTTTTTTTTCCCCCATTTGTTTCTTTCTGCTGTTTGTTCCTTCTGCCTCTAGCATCTGTCCTGTAGAAAATTCCGTGTCTTGGTCTGGCTCCAACACAGCTTGTTTAGTATGGCCACAAAAGTACTTTCCTCAGGAGCCTTTCTGCTCTTTCAGCTCCATATACATTCTCATTTACTAAGATTCCCAATCCTTTGGTATCCAAACCCATGTCTACACAAATGCTGTCCTCTCTTTAGTCTCTTATAGATGTATGGTTTTCCCACAGATCCATGAAGTGCCTCCCTCTGCCACATTTGCAGAATCTGGACAGATTTCTCTAGCAAAGCATCAATTAGTTTTCATTTTGCCTAGCTCCACTTTATCCTCACAGATACCTACATTATATTGCTCTGGTTCTGGCCAAATGAAGCTATTAAGATTGTATTCTTTATAGCATGATCCTCCACATTATTCATATTCCTGCAGTATGAAATGAACTTCCCTCTCTAAGCAGCTAATGGGGGGACTCCCATGACATCTTATTTTTGTTTTTCCCACATACACTCCTCAGTTTTGCCAGTCGTTTCCTCATCAAAAGACCTCCTGGACTCAGATGACCAGACTGTTGTTTTYATCTAATTCCCTAAAACAAGACAGAAGTGATTTAAAGAAATTATCTATTTTTGCCTGTTTTTTTTATTATCATTTTTGTTAAGAAAACAAATAATTATTGATATTAAAAACATCTTTATCCTGTTTTTTATCCTTGTTCCTTTTTTYGATGGGTAATTGCATACCGCATTTTTGTTCAGTTCACCACAGTCTTCTCTATCAGCCCAGTTTTTTACTTTGCTAAGCTAGACTCTGTTCTATAAATTGCTGTTTAGGGGCAGAACTTCCCCTCCCTGTGGAGTAGCAGCTGACAGGATTGAAGCCTCAGATTATAAACTTGTGGTATGGGATCTTATATATTATCTATAATGCTGTATGATGTGTTTTATCTGCTCAGGTTACCATTTGCTCTGATACAGAAACTGCCTTATGGCAGTAACTTCATCTCTCCTTTACCTTTTGTTTTTGCCTCGGAAACCTTGCTGTTACAGTGTCATCTAATTCCTGCAAACAGACTGTGTAAATCTGAGATTCCCAGCTTTAAGCCTGTGGTAACCCCACTAATGGTTTCCCTCCACCTTGGAAAGGTGCCACTATTACAGCTACCATCTGTTTCCTCTCCCTGAACAGAATTTCAACACCCTGCAAAATGCACATCTGCAAATCAAAGGCAGTTAATGTGTATGTAGTTCCTTAGTAAACATGTGTGTAGTGTTAATATTTCAAGTACAAGCAGTATTGCTTAGATATTTCAGCTTCAGTTCGTTTTCAGTAGCTCCAGACTTTGTCATATTTACGATTTGGGCCCAAACTTCACACTTCCTTTAGAAGGCTCTTGTTTAGAAGGCTCTTTAGAAGGCTATGGCTTTGAGCCTTGCTTTGAGAAGCAGGCTCACCTGTCTTGAAAAATTAGGAATAGGTGTAGGAGGAGTGGACTCACTTGTCACCTTACTGGCGTGTACTGACATCTTCTTGCCAGGAGCAACAGACACCCAAAAGCACCCTCAGGTTGTGGAGGTTTTGCCTGTGTCCTCTCCATTCCTACCTTTTTCCACTTCTTCTCTTGTGCTAAGTAGTGTGTGCTAGGACAGGTCTCAGTACAGGATCCAAAGGTTGTTTCATTTATTGCCACTCGGCGAGGGGTGGGCGATTAATTCATCATTTTGGGGGGAGGAAGGGGAAGATGAGCATGAGGTCAGTGGCTTTCACAGGCTCGCCTCTTTTTTCTCACTCTTTCAGTGTCAGTTCTCAGTTCACCTGATCGTGCAGTTTGGGAATCCAAAACCATCTCTGTCTGGGCGCCAGAGCGCTCTGCGTGCATGTTCACTTGGCAGGCAGACCAAGTACAAAGGGCAGTAAATGATCATTTGGCAACTTGGGTTTCTTCGAAATCAGTGGATTTGAGAAKGTCCAACTGAGTGCTCTGAAATCTGTAGGTTACATGCTCATCTGCTGTGCCCAGATGCCATTTGGCAGTAGTGGGCTACGTTGGTGTAACTTGCTGGCCCTCCTTTCAGCTCTCCTGCCTCTGTGTTGAGCTGAAACAGGCCGATTACCCAGGCCAGAGTGTATAGACATGCCATTTCTAGGTATGCTCTTCCTATAATGAGGTTAAAAAATCAGTAATAAGGCTGAGGGATACAACTGAACAGACCAAATTAGTTGGGAGGGGTTTGCTCATATTTGATACAAACAGGTAACTAGTACTGTATGCAGCTACCTTGCATCTGTTTCTTATTAGATTCATGCTCAAAATCTTTGTCTTACCACCAGAACAGCCAGAGCGAGTGAAGCTGGTGGGAGGCAGGTTCAGAGCTGACAGTGGCCTTGTCATTATTAGGGGAGCTGCCTTTGGCTATTCTGATTAAAATTATTTTTGTTAAAATTGACGTTAAGTTTTATTTTGTAACCCAATGAATGTTGCTTAA